AGACATTCCAGGGGATTCAGATATAGAACAAATGCCTGAGCAAAGCTTTAGAGCTGCACAACTAATGTCAGGGATTAAGGCACTTCTCAGTGAGAACTATCAGTATCACTGGGGTCCTGGTGAATATATGAATATGTACTTTTGAAAGGCAGACAGGGAGGCAGTGGTCTGAGAACAGTGTTGGTTAATTCAGCAACAAAGACATGTCCACGCTGAGAACATTTGATCTGGATGTCACTGTCTCACGTCAACTGCAGTTTCTTTGACCCTCTCAAATACACCCTGTGTAGGGGCTTGAAGATCAATTCTGGCCTTAAACTATATGAGAATTACACAGCAGCAGTGCCTCCTCCAAATGCCATCAATGCTATCATCCCAAATAAAACTTATAACCACAGACTTGCAGAAATTGCTTTATCATCATTCCCTCAAAATCTCTGATATACATCCTTCCTATTTAACAAAGAACACTCTCAGTAATTGCTGAAACCAGGTAAGCTTTGAATACAACAAAAATGAACAGTTTAACCAATGGAGGGTGAAGGTTTGCCAACACTTTGGGCACTTCCCATATCCCTAGGAATGTGTCACAATTCCAGTTACACGTCTTTGAAACTGTAAAACATTTACAGCTGTCTCTAGACCCACATGAAGGGTTTGCAGAGGACACAGCCACTGAATGCTACTGTAGACAGAGAAAAACTTTCACTATCCTTACTAAAGCAGTGTAAGAAAATAAAAATAGAAATCATAGCAAAATCTGTGTGTACCTACAAATGATTTCTTTTGCTTGCTCTTTTATCTCCACAGGAAGGCTTCCCCATGAAAGAGGAGAAAGTTTATCCACCTTGGGTACAGGCCATTTGTGTGCTGTTGGCTGCCCTTCCTTGCGTGTGCGTGCCTCTGGTAGCGCTCTTCCACCTAGTCAAGCAAAAGCGCAGGAACAAGGACCCAAGCTTTGTACCACCAGAAGTCTTCTCCTGTCAGGGGGCTAACAGCAACTTTTCTCATCCAAAAGAATAAATATCCACTGTACCAGTCTGTAAACAAAAATAAGACAGCCTTTTTTAGACAATATTAGCTGTCATTTGGTATCATCCGACCAACCTTGTATATACAGCAATCACTACACTCTGTAAACAGTGCTGTTGTGTTTCCTTTAATTTCAACCAATTCCACAGCTTCATGTATGTCTCCAGCCAGAATTTAAACTCGGAAAGCCTGTTAAGTATTGCTGCTGGCTTCTGTATTTCTTCACTTTTACAAAAACTGGTCTGTTCCTAAGGATCAGCAACATAAATTGGAACACAAGCACCTACAGTATCATCCACTACTGTGGCCTCCTGCTCTGAGAGATGCAGAATGGGAGGTCTCTAAGAATAAGGACTGCTGTTTTCCACTACTATCTGATTTGTGTAAATCCCTATACACACTTCAACAGGAATCATTTTGTGGTTTTTTTCATATTCTCAAGCACTGCAAGGAGCAAAGATAAAGCATCAGCAGATAAAAGAATACAGGTTAAGTAAATTTGACCAATTAATTCTGCACAAATCTCTTATCTTAGCAAATTCCAGAATTTATTGTAGTGGAAAATAATGTTAAAAAAAAAAAGAAGTCCCCATTTTTTCCCCTTTATTTCTCATACTGAACACAATAGCTGAATAGCATAAGAATAATGCAGAGGTAGAGCAGCCTTTCAGTGAGCTGCAACCTTACAGGACATAACAATGAAATTAATCTTTACTGAAAACCAGGATTTCCTGTACTTGGCTGCAGATCTTGGCCACTCTGTAGTGCTGGGAGATGAGGATTCCTCTTGTCAAGACACTTGAGGAACCAGCAGTCTCTGAAAAAATATGGGGAAAGTATGTGAGGATAAGGTATGACAATGTCTTCAGGCTGAGTAATTGAGTCAAGGAAGAGAAAGGATTAAGGTTATAAAATTGTACATACATAAATAAGAATTTTTAACTAATTATAGCATCCATTTTATATTCACATTTCTGGCTACAGACAGATAAATGTTCATTAAAATTCTGTAGGCAACTATAGGAAGCTTAAATAGTCCGAGTTCTGCTCCTAAACAAAAATACATCCAACTAATACAGACAGAAGCTGAGAAAATAATTAAACTAGATTTAAAAGACTTTCAAGTCTATAAATCCATCTTGAGTCACTGTCATGGTATCCAGACTCGACTTTTGAGCTGTCCCTTCCATTCACTACAAGGGAGACTTTATGGATCACCGGACATGCAGTTCAGCCCAGGACAGGACTCTGAGGAAGAACAATTTTCAGCTCCAGTAACTACAAATGATGTCTGGGAAACACAAGCTGAGGTTACTGTTTAGCTCAAGTAGGCATGTAGAAAAATGTGTTGAGTAACTCTTGCATGAACACTGCTTTTCAGTTGTCAGTGCACTTCTGATGTTACCTCTACCAAAATTCCTGTGTCAAAACTGTAGCCTTATTCCAATAAACTTAGAGCTTCAAGTTCTCCTTCTTATTCATGAAGAAGATGATGATATCCTACAGGTACGTTTTTTCCTGAACAGCTCGACTGTGTTACTTGAGGGAACATGTGTATGCAAACACCTTCTGTTCATTCTTTTTCCAATCTTTTATCTCCATATTCCATCAGATCTTTCCTCGAATATGCTGCCGTGAACTCATAACGTTCTGACAGGAAAGACTTTCCTAGAAGTGCCTAGGCTGCAAGAACCACCTGGGTTCTTTGGGAGTATATCAGTAAAAGACACAAACACAGCCATGGTGATGTTTAGCCTTAACCAGAATCAACAGCCCTAAAACAAGGAGATCAATTGCCTATTAAAGGAAGAAGCCTCAGAAGGAGTCTTGGAACAGCACAATAAATAAGGACACATCCAAATTATCATAATACAAAAATCAGAAAACAGATGCAGAAAGAAAAGCACAATCCTTCTGGAACACAGGCAGTTTTGTAGGACATTGTGAAATTTGATACCTACCTCAAACTGAGATTTTCAGTCTGTATTTCCTTCCCAAAAGGAAACAGTGGGGAGAGTAGAATGTGCCTGATGGATGTATCCAAGATACTGATCTCCCTTAAAGGGGCTTCTGTCAAATTCCTTCCTTACAGCTCTGCAGACATACTAAAAACAATGTTCAGTCCTATTTCTCCCCTTCCCCGTTTAAACCCTCCAGCAAACTCAACTTCCTGAGTGGTTTGCAACACTTGCAGCGCAGGTTGCGCAGGGAGTTAAGTTAAACCACTTCAGTGGTTTAGCTCTCAATCCCTCTACTTACCTTCTCTTAAATACTGAGACCTTAACCTTCACCACAACTCTCAAATCTCTTGAAATTTTCCCAGCTGTACAATGATTGTTGAAAATCCACATTACAGATTCAGAATGCTCCTAAGGTAATTCCTTTAATATTTCAAGATTCAAGTTATTCACTCTACCCAAACATTTCCTGTCAGCAGTTGCTGTTTAACGCATTGCCTTGCTACCAATTAAGCAGAATATATCTTACCAGCATAATGGATCACACTATTTCTTTTAGAACAGTTCTGTGCTGGAATAACTTTATGGGATATTTCCACTTTCCCAACATTATAAATATCTATTTTTAGAGCAAAAACTGTATGCCCTGCCATGATTAATCTATTCCTTCCACATATACTCATAGTATTTTCTTTCCAATTACCATAACCCACAGAAGCAACTTCAAGTTTCCAAGTTCTCCACTTGCTAAAACACATACCAGTTTCAGCTTTACTTTCACTTGCCTTTTTGAGGGAAGGATATTTTAAATTAAATAATCTTCTCTTGTGATTTCTACACCATATTTGTATCTGTTTACAAACACCTACTGTTTAAAACTGCTGACTCAGGCAGTAATTCTTGGGAAAGGCAAACATCAGCTCAGAGAATTGCAAGCATTACACTTATATTCATTTTTATAAAATTACACCTTCAGCTGAGACCACAACATAAGTTTATATTCTCAGAGAAAAATGGGTTAACCAAGCCATTGGTGAAGTTTACATTCCCTCCATTCTTCATTTTGGAGCATCCTGCTGTCGCTCACTGCCACGTGATCCCATAAAATAAAGCATTCTGCACTGCCAGGCATCTCTTATGCAATGCTTTCCCAGATAGTGCTCCCTCATCCAGTATCACTGCAGACCACAGAGGGGCATGGGGGTGTTTAAATGTTTGAGCTGCTGACTGGAGAGCAAAAAGTGTTGTTGTTCTTCATCTCCAGTAGGAGCAACTGTTCTGTGACTTTTTTTGAAATATACTTTAAGGGTGCCACTTCACAGACAGAAAAAAACCCAAACCTGTGAGACTGACCATGCATTTTGAACTGAGTTATGATGTTAATGGACAGACTGCAATACTGCAAATCAATCATCGGTCTCCGGGTGGTAGGGATTTGCCAGGTATGAACCAACCATGACTCCTCTGGGCAACCTCTTCCTGCATCTCAACACCCTCACAGTAAAGAATTTCTTCCTTATACTGAATGTAAACCAACTCCCTCTATAAAATAATTTTCCCTTTTTCTATCACTATATGTCCTTATAAAAAAAATTGTTTTTACAGCACCGAATATATGCAAATAGAAAAGCAATATACTTGGCATATTATCTAATCAAGAACTTTTGTTTTGCAGGTATAAATGCAACAATATCATTCTGTACAACACTGTATTAAAAATATCACAGAGTATTCAAAATAAATAAAACAAACACTAAAAATAATCAGCTTGGACAGCGACATTTTGGCATATATTAGTCGTGATCTGCAAAGCATAAAACTTCTAGCCTCTGCATCTTGCCATGAAATGAATTTGCCCTGTGCAGATAACTGCTTTTTGTGACATAAACCAGCATATTACAGATTACTATAAAATAAAGTCTGTGGAAACAAATACGTGGTATTGCAATTAACCAGACAATTTATTATAAAATAGTCTACAACACAGATAAGTAAAAAACACCTCTTCAAGACAACTCACTGAAACAAAAAAATAAATAATTTTATACAGAACATAGTTTAATGATTCCTCCATCAAGAAGATGGGAATCATGGAACATAGCCAAGTAAATTACTTCAAACAGCCTGTGAATTTACAAAAATAACCCCACAAACAAAAACCCAAACAAGAAGGTATTAACAAAACTGTCTGCTCTTTTTGTGTCTTCTAAGAAGCAAACACATAAAACTTCTGAGTGAACTTGCTTTTGGGCCACTCTACCAAAATAAACTACAGAGAAGTCACCCAAAGACACAGTATTTATTTTCAAATGTGGGAAAATTATGAACTAAACCTCAATCAGTTAGTCCAGGATAGCTTTGAAATCTTGACGAAGAGATGGTTCTGTCACTGCCCGCAGTAGTGCCACAGTATCCTCTGGGACATTCCTGATTAGCCTCCTCTTACCTACCAAAATATCAGAAACAACTCATTACAACTGCAAATTACTATTAATTCTGGTTTAAGGAAAATGCTAATGAAGCAATTAAATCAGTACTAGCTAAAACCAACTAAAAAGTTGAAACACCTGGAATATGAGGACAAAAAAAAAAAGCTCTAATAAAATATGCTACTGCTCTTCCACACATAAATCAGGCTAATAAATAAAAAAAAAAGTTCAAAATTGTATATGAAAATATTAACAAAGAAAATCAAGGAGCAAATTCCTCCTACTTTCTGTTTTTATGACTTTTTTGTTCAGATTTGAGAACTTCATTAAATTTTGAAAAGCATAAGCCCATTTGTTCAACAACTTTACCAATCAGATAAGGCCTTCTGTTAAACCATAGTTACTTTGAAAGCCTGAATGTCCCATCAATAGAAATACAGACAGTAAAAAGGACTTTTTACAGATTAGGAAGAACATGTAAAATCCTAGCAACAGTTCAAGTCCATCACTAAACAGAGTCAGCAAAATTATCAATGGTGCAGAAAGCCAGGAGTACTCAATAAACATTTGCTCTGTATCTGGAAAGGAGACAGATGATGTATTTATATCTTATCATGATAAGGAAAGACTCTTGCTCCTTTCCCTGCTGGTAATAACAGGAGGGATGTTAAACAATAACTGTGTTTTAAATACTTAACTCTGAAGAATGATGACAACTCATGACAAGTCCCTGATGTTGATATTTAAGAGGTTTGGGAATAGTGGGAAGAACTTCCTCCCCAAAACCTATGAGCTTGATATCAATTCCCACAGAGACTAATGGGAAGGCATGTGCAGGGGCACAAGAGAAAACCACATTTATACCAATTCCTGTCAACAAAATGGTCTTACAGATGTAATAGGATTTATACAGGCAATACAAATTCCAAAATGACAACAAAAATTGCAGCTGTTAAGTCAACACGGGCTTTTACTAGCCTTGTTTATCTCTGTGCTACAGATTACTACAGTCAGTCTATAGAGATACTGAGCTAACTTCACAGGATCCAACCTGAAAGTCAGTGACTTCCCTGTCATGACTACTGACATCCACACATGCTACTTGATTTCCAGGAAGACAAAACTTAAAATACCATCTTTAGAATTAGCTCTGATAGCTCTACATAATGCTTAGTTCTCTAAGTAACCTTCTCTACAAGATGATTCTTGATGCTTCTGATTACAATAACATTGCCCAGGACTAGGTCTGGTGCAGGGCAAACAAAACTAACTTGTAACTGCATAGAAAACTATCAGTATCTCTGTAAATGGATTTTAGTGTATGCCCAAAGGATGGGGACACTTAGTATTGTACTGAATTCAGAAGAATATAAACCATGTACAATCAGAAACTGAAAAACATCCTTCATCCATGACCAGAGACCTTGGGGATACAGAGATAATGATGCCCACTCACACCAAGGGTATACATGTGACTTGTTACCACAAAGTATCTTTGTACAGCTCCACCAATTACTCCATCTACCCTTGCTGCATCGGTGGAACAGGACTAGTGGAAGTGCAGGTAAGATTTCAGGTGGCTATAATCAAATGGAGAGATAGCACTTGAATTACTTGGACCCCAGTGATCTGTCATCCAATCACAGTGAAAGTTTCCATCTTGAAAGTTTCATAGTAAAGTCACAGCCTGCTAATTGTTCATGCAGCTGTTAAGTAAAGGTTTCTGAAGCCTTGATCTCTCCATAGTGTACTAGAAGTCTCAGATATTTCCAAAAGAAACTGGACTCTGTAGATAAAAAGAGTGGGCTGTCTTAACACTATGGATGTGAAGAACAGATTCTGCCTCAGAGAAGGTAACGTTTTTGAAGGAATAGCTGAAAAGTACTCTTTTCAAGGGAACATCACCACTGACTTTCTACAGACCCTTGGACTTTTCCTGCTCCATCTCCACAATACTCAGGAAATATGTTAATAGGCTTCCCCAGGAATTTAGGAAGAAAGATTATTCCCTTTCTCAAGGGTAATTCTCACTGGCAGAGAAGCCTGCTGACAGGTGGTCAGCTTTCCCTTCCTGGGTTAGAAGCTGTGCACAGAGTTATGCCTGGACCACATGAAAGTTTCAGATCAGCATTGCAGTTAAGCAAGCAGCTCTATGGGTACAGCAGAAGGAACCTAGTGACAATTGCTATTCAAACTAGGAAAACTTCACCTCTACTTCCCAGCCAGTTTTCCCTGGCATCTGTGGTGGTGTGCCTTTGTGGACAGCAGAGACCACTTTTATGGCTGATGCGTGCAGCCACAGAAGGTAAGATTCTGTTGAGCAATAAAGCTGTCAGGTGCTGTGTCTCCACCCTGAAAGTACTGTCAGAATAAACAGCAAAGCAAGCACAGAGAAGGATGAAGAAGGTTTGCCCTGGATTGTGGTCTGCCAGTCAAAGATCCCAAGAGCAAAACCATCACCATTAGAGATGAAAACTCAAATGTGCCCTATATGGATCTTGGAGAAGTGAGGCAGCTCCCAGAGAAGCCACTGTCCTACTGGTTGTGTCTACTGCATTCTCTGCTTAGTTCTTCAGTCCCAGTTCTCTCCAAGTGAAGAAAGCAGCCCTGCCCTGGTTTCTCAGCAGCAGAGGGTGGCTTTGGTGTCACTGAGCAACTCAGAGAAAGGAGTTCCTCTGGGAAAGGCTGTTGGAATTCTGCTCCATACAGAAAGTCCATAGCGCTCAAGGATGTGGCAGACAAAACCCCAATCATCAGTTTGTTTCTCTTAACAGTGTAAATGTTGTCTTGTTGTCCCATATTGAATGCTGCAAGCCTTCAATACGGGAAGGAAATGCTTCCTTCTAAAAGAAGAGATGCATTTTTTTGGGGGCACTGGACCTCAGTGCAGCTATCAAAGGAAGTTTATGATATATTTGAAATCAAATAGGTGTTACCCTAGAATGAGACCCAAGGATTTCTTGGTCTTATATAACAAAACTGCCTAAGCAATGAGCCCTTCAGAGTGCAAATTACAGAGTCAGCATCCACAGTCTGGACATCACTGCAGCTAAATTCATCAACAGTACTGGCTGCTTCAGGAAAACCTCTTGCTGTCCACTTTTAATATCTTAAAACTGAAAATTCTGTTATTTATGGGGCTGGCCTGCAAACAGACTGCACAACTGTTTAAGGAAAGAGCTGCCCAGGGACACAGCTTATTTCACCAAATGAAAATGTCAGAGATACACCAACACCACAACTCTACACAAATACACATGCAGTGGAGCCAGTGCTTCTGTTTCCAAGTGACCCTGGTGACACTTTTTTGGGTAGGAGTTTAAATTGTGGGAGGAGCTTATTTAGTTGCCAGTTAATCTACATTTTTTAAAATAGAAGCTTGAACACTTGTATTTCATTTAGTTAAACCTGCTGAGAATACCAACATGATTAACACAGTTTCATTAAGCTTTCTGAACCGTATAAGCTTACTGAGTGCCAAGCATCAACTGTTCTGTGAAAATAAGGCTCTAGAAAATGCAGTGCTGAAAAACATCTTAATCTGCCTACTTACACTTAGTAAATTTGAATAAAACCAGTAAGATCGTTAATGTACATCTGAGAAAAATATTATAGGATTAGAAAACTTTAAAAATCCATTAGTTTTTAAGTTTTATTACAATTAACATAGACAAAACTGTAAAAATAGCTACATACTTACAGACTTTTAAGGGTTTAAGCAGACATTCGTAAAAAGCTTTGTGATTTGACAGTTTGACAATGAAGGCATGGTAGCAGAGCCATTCTGCTACCTGAATAGGGAATATGCCAGATACATCTTTGTTACCTTCAGCAATCCCTAGAGATATAAAAGGAAAATAATATAACTGAAAATGATGAGCATTAAGAAGCATGTCTGGTCTCTCCTCTCTTTATATAAAATCACCCCAGGATTTTTTACTAGAAAACTGTATAGTCAGTGAAGCCCTGCACATTAGCAGAAAACTAAAAACTAGTGCCTGAAACACAATCTTCAAAAAACTGAATTTAAGAAGAAAAATGCACTGTGATTCTCATCATACACTTCACAATATTCATTCCTGATCTTTATCCCAAAATTACACCATCGGACTGCATAGTCAAGACGTTCTATTTGTCCAAAAAAACCCCAAACAAATCGAAGCCCACTACTTCATTCCCATTAACACCCTATACCTGCATTTAATGTTTTCAGGATAGCATAGCAGCATGATGCAGTCTGAGAAACAATCCTTAGGAAGAAACGAGGATTTTTTCTAACTTGCTGGTTGAATGGAAATTGAATAACACAGGCATGGAACCTGTTCACAAAAACAGCCTATTTAATCAAAAGTCATTTACAATTTCAAGTGAAACTATGACTACATAGCTTAGGCACCATACAACATCTAAAAGCACACAACAGTCTTTAGCTGTATCAACACTTAACTTCATGACACCTCTCCCATATATACACAATCCTGGAATGTCAGACATAGATAACATTTATTTCTAAGTTTTATAATGAAAGTAGATCTCTAAGCCATCTGCCTTGGTAACAGACTTCTCCTCTGAGGACAGTGTAACTGTGTTATGTGCAGGGAAAATTAAACTACCCATTGTCACCAATTCCATATCACAAACCATGACACCAGAGAACACCCACATGAGAGAGTAGGAGAGGAAGAAAAAACAAAGCAAAACCCCACAATAAATTCTGTTCAGGTATTCAGGAAAATAAACTTCCAAATGATTCCGCAGACCAAGACACTCACTCCTTTGCCTATCTGGAAGCCAACTCTATTGAAGTTATTTGTACTTTATGCTTCCTAACACCTGTTTGAAATTATTTTCAAACTGCTGACTTTTTTTACCTTCAGACTCTGGCATTACAATCCTGCTTATGATGAATATAGCCAATTACAATGTTTATTTTTAATTAATCAACAATGTACATACTTGTTTATTAAATTAACCCAGCATATTGCAATCACTTAAAAAAACCTGTGACATTTTCAGTATTTCAGGGGCACACCCTAGTACCATGCTGCATCACAGGTCTTTGGCTGAATTAACCGGACAGTTATCACGGTGGACAGTCTTTTAATTATAAAGGCCACTGTTATAGTGTTACCAAAAAACCAAACAGAAGTCACTAAGTGAACATCTCTATCAGAGAAAAATCTTAAATCACCCACAACACCAAAGTTTAAAAGCTGGACACGAGTGCTGTACTAAACAAACCCAATTACACTTCTTGGACAAAGAATACAGCTTGAATGTGGATCAAGATGAATTTAAGAACAGAACCAAAATGTCCCTTCTTAACAAGTGTGAGCAGAGCAACATTTGATTTTTGTGAAGAGAACTTCTTGCACATTTTCTGTGTTAAAACAATAAAAACCCAATTACTTGCTGCTGCAAATCATTCAAAGTTTTCAATGTACATAGCTTAGTATTTTCTTCAAACTTGCTTATCAGTTTTGATTTCTTTCCCTTATCTTTGCAAATATAAACTGGCTAATATTTAACTGATCTTAATATAAAATGGTTAATAAGGCTTCTTATCATACTCCTGAAGCAAAACAGACTATTTATCTTGAGGTCAGCTGTCAAAACCAAGACACTAAGAATCCATTTGGTGAAGTATCACTTAAACATACACATGAAATATATTCTTGTATCCTAAACCTAACAGTATTACTTAAGCACAGTGCTGAAACTTGACCTACTACTGACATTTACTACTGTACACATTGTACAGAAATATATAAATGCTGCACACTTATATGGCACACTTTTTTCTAATTCATAGCTCCTCCATGTGTTAAGAAAAAGTAATGAAATATTGACACTTACTTCAGAAGACAGTGACCTACCTGTAAGCCTGGAGTAAAAATATCTTGTAGATGTTAATGAGAACTGTTCTAAGGCTGTTGATCTAACAGAATAGAAACAGAGCAATAAGAATATTTTAGTGTCATAATAGGATTTGTTGAAGATCTAGACAAAAACCATTTTATGCTAAACTTCAAAGATTTCTTTTATATAACTAAGTTAACAATGTTGTGAAGGATCACTTCTGGAACCCTACATTTTATCTGATGCCAACATTTACAGATTATACGGACTTCCTCTCAAAAAATCAGTTTTAATGCTCATCACTAATCACAATATTGCCAAACATCCATTTTCATATTCCCACCTGTAAATCAAGAAATAAACTATGACATTTCAGTTTGAGGACTGCACTCAGTTTGTATTTCATGTTTTTCCCAGCTGTTATATTTGAATTGAAGGAAAGACTTGATCTGATAGAAGTACAGGTGTAACTAGGAAAAAAAAGTAAAAAACGTAGTTAAACTCCATGGGCTAATAGACTAAATTAAATTCTCTAAAGTAAGCCTCATTTAACTTCCCGTTTTACAGAGATTTCCTGCTAATCAATGAGCCAGTAGCTAAAAGATGACCATTATTAAATTCAGTGTTGAAAGAGACTAGGCCCTGTGGAATTAAGGGTATTAGCAAAGGGCTGAATTCAATGCCTCAGAGCTGAAAAATTCACTCTGCTAAAAATGGTGAATCAATAACCTTAGAAATAAACTAAATGTATTTCTTAAACATACTGTCTAGCCAGAACACTATTAATTACTCCAGTGACAATCATCTTCTCTGTATCTATGATCCATGCAATGCAGGACCTTAGGCTTGAAGCCACCTTAGTTACTGGAACAACCCTGATTGTTCTAGCTACTTAAGCTTATAAAGCTTAGCAAAGCCTTGAAACAAATACTGTGGTGGGCTTGGCAGTGCTGGGTTAATGGCTGGACTTGATCTTAAAGGTCTTTTCCAAAATAAACAATTCTATGGTTTTATGATTCTGATTGATGTCTCCCAACCCTGCAGCATCAATACCCTTTTCAACATAAACTGTTTTTTTCAAGAACTCAGCTAGTGAATAAATCTCTGACTGTTGAAAAAATTCCGAAAATGACCAAACTTTTCTGCTTAGGAAGACTACTCAGGAACTTTACTATCAGTGGAAAACCTCCTCCTAATGTTCCACTTAAATGCTTAAGGGCTGTTTATATTAAAAATGGTCAGTAATGAAGCTAATGGAACAATATTATCCTTGAGTTTAAACAGCTCTTTCTTTTCCATCTTTAGCAAATGTCTAATGCCATCTCTAGTAGTCCATGTAAAGGGTCTACAGAACCTTTCAGTAGGATACATTATCCTGTCCCGAGTTTTATGCCACTTCAGACTGTTTTGTGTAAATGGTCAAGGTTGCTAGTTTAAAGAGAAGTTCTCTTCCCCCACACATTCTTTCCCATCTGAAGTGTACCAGAAGAAACACCTCTGATGTTGAAAAGATTGTTTGTCCCTTTAGTCTATACCAAATTAATCCAAATCCGTTTTGCAGTCAATTCAACTACATCATTCCCAACGTACCCTTGTGCTTCTCCCACTATGTACGAGACACTGTAAAGCTGAGCCTGGAGTGTACAACTCTATTTACCTGGAGTAATCGCAGTAAACCTCGAGTGTTTTTATATCTAGTAACAAACCACACCACGGGATCAAACGACAATCTGGCAGCTGTTTAAATTTGGAACATCCTGGGATATCATCAACAGGAAAATTCACCACTGTCTTATTTGGGTTTATTAAAAGGCCGTACTCAGGAATACCTGTTGCTAGAGTCCTAAAACAAATATAAACAGTTAGGCTAAGCCCCCCCCCAGCAAAGCAGACAAAAACTGGCACCATGCTGCAAGACATCAGATCTTGAACAAAAGGGCAGAAAACTAAGAATAAAGGGAACCACAGCCAACTCTTCAGGTTAAGGAACACAGCTAGAAATAAAGTGAAGACATTAGAGGTAAATAAATACATTAAATAAATAAACTTGAGGACAATGGAGAAAAAATTCTACAGATTAATGCAAATTAAGCACATCAGCCATGTAACACTTGAGATAAGATTTATGAACCACAGAAACCTCTGAAATAAAAATCACTCAAAAAAGACAGATGACAAGTTATTGTTTCTGGAAGTTAACAAAACCAAGAAGACACCATATAACAAGAATCTCAGTTATCTGATGAAAAGTTTTGAACTTTGATGGGAACATTTTCCCTAAGAATGTTTTCACTGCCAGAATGCCTGCTGATTACCTGCTACATACTGGATCAGCAGTGTCATGGACAAGAAGCAGTCTTGTCCTACTTGACAACATACTTATGCGCAGGCTTCATCCTTTTAAAGAGAGGAAGAGGTAGGCTCTTCTTCTTGGGGAGTCATAGTTGTAATGCTGTCTCCTCAAAACTAATTTACTGAGTCCCCCAGCTCGAATACTACATTAGGAAAAACTGATATTACTCTATTTGTGGCAGAGAGATCATAGGATCTGATCTGTAAACAGTTCTGGAAATCTCTCACAGAAAAGCTACTTCTCTACAGAAAATCAACATAGGTGGTACAGAAGTTGGTACAGAATAAACATGCAGACAACTTTAAAGGGTAAGCAGGACAATATCTTCACTGCTACTCAAGTGACATTGTGCTGAACAGATTTTTTAAGAGATTAAAGCTTGAGGCCCCTCACTGTTAGTTTGATTTATCGTTTCCAGAACTGTAAACCCACAGATCCCTACATATTTCTTCCTGTCCTGGTAAGGAAATGGGGACAAATGAAGTCTTCAAAATACACTATCCACTATTTCATACAATTTATACTTCAAACTGTACTTAATTGATTGTTCCATCACCTTTCAGGTTCACAACAGAGCTGCATCTTTCTTACTATTGAAAAGCATGATACAACTGACTACACTGTAGATACTAAGCTTTTCTTCCTTTAAATTGATTTCGGCATCAGCAGAACTCCTCTACGACTGACTGTACACTCCCTATCCGCAGTAATCAGGAGCTTTTGGGATTCAATTTTTAAAGAAAAGGTAGCACTGAAGCACAGTAAAGAGTAAGTGTTTTAAAACTTCCATGTGAACTGCATACTACCATGCTATTGGTATCTTTGATACTCATCATGGAATGTTAATGACCAGAAAATTCTTAGAAATACTGGATCAGACCAGAGCTGCATTCTTTCTCAGAATGCAAACAGAAAGCAGCAGCATGAGTGCCCAATAAAAACATTTTGAGAATGTAAATAAGACATCTTAAAAATTTAAGAGAAAATGGTTTTAAAAGACAACTGTCAGCTGCTTTGGTTAGGCTGCAATACTAATTTTTGCTTGAAGCTCCACCAGGGTTAGTAGGCAGGTCCCTAATTCAAACTTAAGCAGGAATTGCCTACCACATGAACTGCAACAAATCCTTAACTGGCTATCAAGAATGCAGTTTTAGGATTCTTCCCAAGCACAGGCTACTACCAAGGCCTCCAAAATAACCCTTGACTGTTAACTTTTAAATACATTTATGTGCATAAAGATGAAAAAGAATTACGTAAAAGGTAATAATGCTTACTACTTTGAAGACTATGTCTCTGACAGCATACCTTACAAAAGTTCTTGCCTTCATTAAATGTGGTGTAAGCAGCAAAAAATCATCAATGAGACGTATTAGGACTCTATAATCAAGAAGAAACCGATTTTTTAATACATAATCCTTTCAAAGCTTTTTCATACACTTCAGAGCAACAAGGTGCCTGCCTATTTTAATTCACAAGATGGTAGAGGCTGATACAAACTCCAAATTGAGACTCATGAAGAAATTCTCAATTTTGCTTCTTTCTTAAACATAAATGAAAAAAATAAATAAAAAAGCAATGAGACTGGCTAGATGAAAAATGAAGGAATTTACAACATAAAAACTATTCCCCTGGATCCAGTGTTTCCCTGGATACACTTTTCCAAGGGAGAATATGCAGTATCTTTCTCTACAAGACAAGGAAAAGGGGTGCCAGACCAGGCAGACAAGTAGATTCTTGGTTTCCAACTCTGTTTACCATGTAATAAGCTGTTTATGAAGCTATCGCTTCATGTAAAACAGAATTCCATCTACCACTGTAAAGGCTGAAATTTTCCAACAGAATTCAGACCCCAAGCATGCCCATATTTTTCTGGTAAATCCTGCCTAGCAGATCACAGAGAAGTAACTCTGGAGATGATGATGTACAGTCTCATCTTCAAAGCAAGCGTACTGCCATCACTATGATCAGATCAGAAGCACCTTGGCCCAGCCAAGTCAAAAACCACCTTATTCTTCTGACTTAAAGGACAAATTAAATTATCAAGATCATTCAACAGACATATAAGCAACGTTCTCTAAAATCTGCTGTACATAAAGGCAGCTGTTACATTAACGAGTGCATTCTTCTGAATCAGTTTCATAATTTCTGTTTCGTAAACAACACCCTTTGAAAGCAACAGACAGCTTTTCAGACTCACATCAGAGCATCCTCAAGCCTGTGAGAACTACTGCTTTTGTAGAGAAATGTTTAAAATTCTGACACCCAACAAGCCTCCCAAGAAGAAACACCAGTGAGATGCACTTATCTGGAGTATTCCCACAGTTCTTTTTCATTTTTGGGAGGAGGAATTCACAGCAATGAAGGGAGATGTCTGAACACAAACAAGTTTCAGGGTCCAGCTCATGACTAAATACCCTAAGCCAGAATTCTGCTGGGGATCTGTTCATACAAAGGTAATAGGAACCTCAAAATTTTTACAGCTAATAAAGAGTTAAAGCTTTTAGCAGGCTAGCTTTCTGTCAAGCTCCTAAGGAACAAGCACATGCAGGGCACAAAGACTGAGAAGATTTACCAAAAATCACACCCTGTTTCAAACAAGAACCAACATACCCCATAAAAAATCTGCTATAAAGCTCTGACCTTGATAAAATGTTAAGATTTACTGACAGTAGATTGGAAAGCCCTCAGGCAGAAGCCAGGAGTATCAGAAAGTCTGTAACAAACATCTCATCTTGTCTGAAGTGAAAAGACACAGATGATGTGGGAATGAGGCATAGCCATAAACTTCTCACAAGTACAAGAGCAGCTAGAGATGCTGTAAGAAGCCTTACAAAGTACAGTGCTCTTTCTAAGAATAAATCTCCAACCAAAGATATAGGACAGCTTTTCTGCATTTTCTTCTCAATCTTGTAATAGGGAAATTCTCCCAAAAAAAACAACCACAATTTCACTGAAGCTGCAAAGATGTTTGTGCGTCACACTCCTAATGAAGTTGGAAATCCTTGAAATTCAAAACTAAATGTCAGAGAAAATGACTAACATATATATTACATACTATGAATTACTGTAACAGAGCAAAGCATCCTTACCCGTCCTTCTGTATTCCAGAGAGCAATCTGTTTTCCATATCTCCATAGAATAAGCTGCAAAGTAAGCTTGACAAAATGGAGCCTTGTGGAATTCCACAGCACTGTAAGTAGAACCTTCCAAAGAATAAAAGAAAACAAAAAAATCAAAACATGCAACAAGATTGCAATAGCTGTTAAGTATTTTTTTCCAAGTATAATGTAAGAAATATAGTATATGTTTGCCAGTTAGCCCTATTTAATTTTTTTTTCTTTTAAGAATCTACATAGAGATCTAGAAGTTTTAACTTTTAACAGTGAAAAAAACCCCACTAATAAACATATTCCTTTCATATTAACAAATTCCAGGAGACAACTGCTGTTAAATGAAAGAAATTGTATAAGTGATCTCAAACCACAAGGCCTCCTCCTGCTGCAGACACATCCCTCATTGAAGTTTCTTAATTCTTTATGTTACATCTTAATGCGACAGCTTCAAGAGAAGTGTTCCTCACACAAAACAAAGTGCACTGGGAGAATTTTCTATGCTGGCATGAAACAAATGGGTACGGCTCACAAACCCCAAGGGACTTATTTTCACAACACTTCTTTGAAGCAGTGAGATACTATAATGTCCATTTCACTGCTATTACATGAATGACTTGGTGAAGCTGAAGAGAATAAATTCAGACCACATACTACTTTTGAGGACTGATCCTACCTGTATTTTCAGTCAGCTGAAAATATTCCTTGCAGTAATTTTATTTTGTATACAGACTTTTGTATCAAACGTATTAAAAGATTCCTTGGAGGTCCCCAGCTCAATAATCAGCATTTTTCTCAAAACATCAAGTTAATGTTGACTGTGTTTTTTTTAACAAGAAAAAGAGTCTATTTATTTACTGAATATATGGGGTTTTTTTTTGGACAAACAAGAACAAGCTACTTAAAAGGGGTAAGTTAATTTCATGACAAACATTTTTTCAGTCAAGCTGTGAATGAATTTGAAAGTGTGAAGCTGGTTTTGTCAGGGTGTACTTTCTCTGAAACCATTAAAATTCCATAAAATATACTCACATTGGTTAGTCATTATTAAAGTATGCCACAAGAGCATTCTTATGATCCTGCCAAAGGCAGTGTAAGGAATGCTAGGAGAAAATATAAACATGTTTCTATGTGACTCCTTGAGAGCATTTCTCACTCTCCCTCAAATCCTCTGAGATTCTAAAATAAGTATTCTAAAACAAAGGCATTTTTTTCCAGAGCAAGAAGCTATTCATTCTAATGTAATTCACTCCAAATTTACAAATAACAATCATGTAAGTATTTCCTTTCTTAAACATGGTACACATTTGCCACCTAGAGGCAAAATATAAGTACCAAGTCAGTATCTCTACCAACACAAGAAGGAATCTGCATTACTACCTTCTGTAACATTTGATTATTAATTTTAAATTTTTAACTAATTTCTAACAGTTGCTACTGCCTTTTATTTTTATTGCAACTTGCCAGATAGGAAAACCATTGTACTACAGGGAAATGACTAACAAGACTTTTGCATAACTGTTTGGATGTTACTCTTGCTTTTGCTCACCACAATGGATCCCACCATTTTAAAGTATATTCCTCTAGAATTACATTTGCAGTTTTAAAGGAAGGTTATTCCATATTATATGGAATAATGCATTGTAAATAGTTAACATCATCCAGGTAGGGAAGAGAAATATTATTTAAAATAAAGTTGACTCCACACTCTTCATGCTTTTTTGGAGCTTAAACTGATACATAAATTTCTCATTAATATGAAATAAAAGATCTTTAAAAGACAGCTATCAAAAGTCCCCAGAGTCAATTAAGGAAAACAAACAAACAAACCAAGCATGCCATACAACAAGAAAGTGATTTCTTTTTTACCTGTTCCTAATCTTCAGGATGCTGTTATGTATCATTTGAAGGAAAAAATTAAACAGGCTGGAACTTGTCTCATGGAACGTTAAGCTCTAGAAATGTGACAAAACAAAACAAGATTTGAAATGAAAAGTAAACTGTAACTTTGAAGTTTAAATCTTTAAAAAAGTAGACTGCAGTAGCTCAAACCCCCATGTGAAAAGATAAAACCTAAACCCAAGATCTGAACATATGTACTAAAAAAATGCTCACATCAGGCAAGTTAATTTTTGTTGGATGTCGGCGGTTTTTTTGTTTTGTGAAATCAAATATAACATCTAAACCCACTGTTTAAAGTGCTGACATAATATACTGGATTATTACCAGGTGTAAAACCTTGCTCTTTTGGCCACTTTCTATCCTGTAGGACAATTTCTGTACATCACAATCTTTATGATTTACAAAGTCTTGATACATACACTTGCCCGTTCTGCTGAAAAGCACACACTTCTCCAGGTATTACCAACACTTCCATTCATTGCTGTGCACCCACTATTTAAGGAGCATCTTGTTAAAAATTGCAAGATAAAAAATCCATTTACAACAATTTAAATACCCTTAACAATGACTTAATTAAAATTAAAATAAAATTACTACTTGCATAGATTAGACAAATTGCAAACAAATGCATCCATCTTTTGATAGAGCCATGCAAGATCACGATTACTTGCATTAAAAAGATAATGCGATGTACCAGTGGTACAGACACTCAGCCTGACATGACACTTTTCTCAAAATACTTCATTCTTTTAAGATAATGACACACAAATTGTTTTCAAATGTAAAATATTTTTAAATAAAATGCTGCTGCTAATGCAATATCTAGCACAGTTTCCTAAATCAGTTTGAAAAAGGTAACAAAATGTACTTATACATCAGAGATCCAGCTAGTTTCTATTTTCATCCAGGTACTCATTAAAATTTTTTATTTTTGTAGGATCCTGGAACTGTACACCAGCCACACCATATATTCTACTCCTACGTCCACAGATCCCCAAGATAATTTCACTTATATGTTAGAAATCAGCTTTTGCCAACCTTGTAATTTTCCAGTGAAAAATGCCAGTGGAAGTGCCAGATTTAGAGAAGAAAAATTTAAAGAGGAATTACCTGTCTGCTCATTTGATGTTCAGGAAATCTTGTAGGTTGTTATTATGGAATATCATGATTCCAAGTAAGGAAATGCATGAAGAAACTGTCTGAGCCTATCACCTACTCCTATGCCTTCGTAATGCTCCTTGCACAAAACAAAGTCTTGAGAACAAACACTTGTATCACAAGAATTAAAACAGAAGGATGCTTGCTTCTTGCAACAAAGCATCAGTTGGAGTAAATTTAAAATACATGTAATTTTTAACCATACTTTAATTCACTGGAAACAAGAAATCTCTTTAAACAAAAGAGCTGATCTTGTTTGTGTTGCACTTAACTCCCCTAAAGAACAGTTCATTCTCATCAACCTTGACAGGTAATCCTTAAAATCAGCCTTTTTATTTTTAATTTGGCATAAAATAAGATTTTAAAACAAAACAAAAAAAAAGCTCTGCAGTTTGCTAATCAAGATGCCACATCCTTAACTACTTGACTTATAACACATTTTGCTTGTTCTTACTTCCATATATTTTGGAGATAGGAAGTGTTGACGCCCGCTTTTACTAGACAGTTAATTTCTCACTTGAGGACTGTTGCAAGAAACAATTGAATTAGGAAAGAAAAAAGAAAAATGGTTAAAATAAAAGTTTGATAAAATAATGAGAAAATCTGGAAAAACTCTAGAAGGACTTTTTGTCAGATTTCCTGCCTGGTGCACTCCTCCCACTAAACACTCAGAGCCTGTTAGAAATATTAAAGAGATGACAAAAGTCTTTCTACAGAACTTGCTGGTTTATTAGATGAGAAGTAATGTCACCACATAATATGCACATACAAGTGAAAATCCCAATCTTCCTCTAAATTCTTCTATAGCTTTCTTTTTCAGTTGAAAAGAAGCCTCACAATACTTACCTGTTCAACTACTATTGCATTCTGCAATGAGACATTCTCCTGAAGCTGGGACACAAACTGCTTCATGTCTGGCATAAAGTCCTTGAAGGTAGAAACCTGTATAATTGTTTAAATTGTAAAGAAACAAATGATAAAAGCAATAGAAAATGCATTAACTAACTTTTCTATGCTGTGGAGGCCAAAGGACCAGCCTTATTGTATTGTTTTAATCCAACAGTTCTTCTACCACTAAAATGAAATGTCTCACCCACAAATCTCTATTTCCACAATATATTCATCTTTCTTTTTACTAATAGTGAGTAAAAACTTTAAAGGGTATGGACTAAAAACAAGCTTTTCTACCCCAGGAAAATATCTAACAGTATTAAAAAAGGGGTTATTAAGTACTTAACCAATTCAAATTGTGACTAAAGAAAGCTGTAAAGGAAAGCTTTTCCTTGGACCAAAAATTTGTTTACAACAGCAAACAGAAGAAATCAGGAAGTCATACATGTCTCTTATAGAGCCTCTTGGCTCTTCCACTTGGGGTTATCATAATCACAGCATAGCGCCGTATGCAGTACACGGTTCTCTTCTCAGGCTTCAGGACCCGCGAAATCACTTCCACAAGTTTATTGTGAGGGATGGTATCATAAGCCCTGGACACATCAGCCTGAAATAGAAGAAATATCTTCCACAACATATGCAGCAGTATCACTGTAAACATTGTGGTAGTATAGAAGTATTGCTGTAGTACCTAAGCAAGGCTGAAGGATAGATCACATGGGAGTAAAATTATTGCATCATTCAGGCCAAATTAGTGACAAAAATAAAACCTCACTGCTTATCTGAAAAACCTTTCCCCGCTCATCAAGTATTCCCTTAGAAAGCAGTATCAGTTTTAACACAATTCTTAACAGAAGATTATACTATATACCACCTTAAATCTAACACTGAACCCTCCATCATTTAAGTTAATAGCTGATATTTTAATGTTTAAATACTTTAAGAAACCTTCCTCACCATATGGCCATGGAGACATTTTAGACTTTTGGAAAGCTGCAAACCTATATATTTTACCTTTCCCTTCCTTTTCTTTTCATATTGGAAACTCACCTCTGCTTTTACTTGTCACAGTAAAAACAGAAAACCTGCTGTAGAAGCAACAATCTTAGGATTACTGTAACACAAATTATGTCAATGACATAATTGACCCTTTGGCTCAAAAGACCAAATTACGGAAGTTATTTCAGGGCAGATGACAAGCGCCATGAGAGATGAGAACAGAGCCGCCCCATGATATACATAAATCTGTGTAATTTACATATTTTTGTATACATTGCCCCAATTTAAAGCTATGAAATGAAATCAAACACAAAATGTTGCCTGCTAGACTGAACTGACTTCACACTGACAGTGTGAAGATAAAGAAGAAACTCCTTTAAATAGTGGGCTACCACAAACACCAATTTTTTCAAAGTAGGAGAAGAAACCTTTTGGAAAGACACCAACCAGAATATGTTCACTTTTATCCAAAACTAATGATACTGAGACAGAATATACAAATTTTTTAAGAAACTGAATTTATTCAAATTTACCCAGAACTTTTTTTGTGGTTTTCATATGGCTCAAAATCCTATCTGAGCTTCCATCTTTCTCCCACTTTCATACCAGCTCAATGTAACCGTAAAAAAATTCATTGCATGTATAGAAGCAGGAAATCCTGCACGCCAGAAAAACACCCAAGTAAAGGAAGCTCTACTGCAGGGACACCCAAATCACCCCATCAAAAAACTAACCAGAGTCTGTAAAGTACACAAAATTTTATTAAGAAAAATAAATAATTATGCAGCTTACAGCTAATACAGCTATAAAAGTATCTGCACAAGCTGGTTTTGAAAAGCTATTTTGAAAATGTAATCAAAAACACATACCTTTACACAGTAGAAATGAGGAATTTCACCACCAGATTGAAGAATCTTTTTAACAAATTGCTTCCATGTCTTGTAGATATCATCCTTCCCAAACACTGAAGAGCCTATAAAACTGGTGTTTATAGTCCGTTCATAATTTAACACACTAAACAGATTTTTTAGCTGAGTGTTGTAACAATTCATCTAAAGAGACCAAAGAGAATCACCTTAAATTATGCTGAAACATATTAAATTCTTCGCAATACAAAGACTACAAATTTACATGAAGTTTGAGATTAAATTTATTTAATATATAATTATTTATATATTTTATATAAATATATCAGTATTATATATATAATATATAAATATATCAGTATTATATTTATAGATTATAATTATATTATAATAATTATAATAATAATTTTATTTAATATTTACCATATTATTTTGTTCAACTAAAGCTTTCAGAAAGCCTGAATACCACTGCAGTAACTACTTTAAAGTGACCAAATAGTCTCAGAGATTTTTTTTTTTCCAGTACAGTTAAATCCTATGGAAAATGGATTTGCTCCTATCCTTGACTCTTGGAAATTAAGGTCTAATAGTTACACTGATAAACAGATGAATGCCAGCAAATAAAATCACCATCAACCTGAAAATAACTTCTTAAATATCATTCATTCTCTCTGCTGGAGATAATGACAGCAACAAGAACAACAAAGAGAAGGTGTGCTCTGAGATTTTATGCTAACTCCACCTGCATCATCACTGGGCTTCTTGAGATACTTCATTCAAGTAACTGAGCAAATATTTAACTCAGCTGTGGGGATAGTCAAGTACATCAAAGCAGCACTGAAGTCATGCAGGTTGCTTAACTCTATAAACACCATAATGTGGAATATTATGTGAAATAACACTTCACAGATCAGAACAGCTTTTGGCTGATGTTCTTTTCATCTGTCCGGGATCACATGGTCTGAACAGCTAGTCCTAAAAAGCTGTTGACACGTCACCCATTTGGGGAACACTCCATCTTGTGAATGAGACTCAGCCTTAAGGAAAAGCAATTAATGAAGCTGTGCAAGACAGTGAAACTCGGCTGCCACTATGTCTTCTGGTTAAATGCCCTGTTAAATAGATTATTCTGTGCACTGAATGCTCAATCTCTGTTCCCACACTGCAACTACTCTCAGCTTCCTTCCTATCTCTCTACTGTGCTTGCTCCAGCTTCCTTGCTCTTCCTTAGACCCTGTTCTGTAATGCACTCAGCTCATCACTGTTCACTGGCTCCACAGGCAACTTCACAGATCAACATGCACCACCAGTATTCATGCAAATCCCAATAGGCCAGACACCCATATCAAAAAAATGGGATTACCTTACAAGATATGTCATTCTAATGGGCTCATTTCCTTAAAATAGGTTAGCAAACAGAAGTTTGTGATTCTGGAACTGGAGGCTTGTGGTAATTGAGCACTGGAAAGGGAGAAGCTAAGCTGCAACAGACCCATTCAGCCATTCTGATCAGAATGTTACAGTCCACCAAGTTAAAACTAGCTTTATGTGACAAAAGTCCTTACTACATTTATTAGTTACCTACATCAAATGCACATAAAACAATGAAGTAAATAAAAACCTTTTTTTCTCTGCTTTCCTTGCTGAGTGCTCGTGGTTCGACAACACCGCTCACTTTTACTATAGGTCTCAACCCATTTCGTTTGGGAATAAACCGGAGCTTTGATGCCATTGGAACAAATTTTTTTTGACGGATAGTTTCAATCTCCTCTGAAGACAGAGGCCGTAGCTGTAGTTTGACAAAATGGTTTCTAAAATACAAATACACACTTAGTGTAAGCAATAGGAAAGGCAGAAAAGTAAAACATTTAATGCCTTTATGATAACTAAAGCCAAATATTTTTCTAAGATAATACAAATACTAACCTCTACAGAAAGTGACATGAAATTCTGAATTTCAGAACAGTATCACAGTATCTTAATGACAATGTAATACAGTAGGAGACCACACATTTCTGCTTGATGCAAATAAAAACCCCTCTTAACACAAATTAAAATTTAAGCACAGATTAGTGGAATACATATGAACATTATGAAATATGTTTTATGCAAGAAACAAGAAGTTGGATATTTCTCATAGTTTCAGAAGTTTGAAAGGCATTAACAAAGTTGAAAAGAACCTTCTAAAAACTATTCTAAGAGACCTCCTGGGAAGGACTTACAAACTGTAATGGCTGTTCTACTGCCAACAGTTAGGGGATCTACCACTTCTTAGGAGTTATAGTTAATTCAGGTGCTGGGAGACACAGACAGCATAAGGGCTTTGGGTGTCCAGGACTGATGAGCAGGTGTCAGGTGAAGCAAACAGCAGAAAATAACGAAGAACCAAACGCATCTAAGTCACAAGTTCTGGGCTTCCCAAGTTCACCTTAATGGGAAATGTGTTTTCCTCTCAGATCCCTTCTCAGGATTTACAGTTCCACGAACCTTTGTCAAAATCAATACTTTTCCATACAATGAATCAGGACATGGTGGTGGAGCAAAAGCCCTTGGTTTTACTTAAGATGCAGATTTAAAGTACCCTGCCTGCAACATAGAAGACCTGAATCGATCTTCTGCACAGCTTGTATTGTTAAGATGGATAAAATGTGCCCTACAATGACTAATGGTTATATTATCCTGGGAAGTAAGTGAGGCAATTCAAGTCCTCACAAAAGACTGGACATCAATCTAAATTTGCAAGAGGACTTCTTTACATCCCACACAGTCCAAGAGGTTGGTTTAGCAAAAGAAGGCCACACTATTGCAAAAGGCAGTGGATGAATGGTGGAAGCCTGGTAAAGATGCCCTAGGACACACCTAAGAAGCCAATAACATAGGTAAGAGAGGCACACAAATACTTATTTTGTATGCCCATACAACTCAAATACAAGCTCATGATCCAGCTGCTTGGGACTCTTGCAGTCTGAGGGATACAATGCATGACACCTAGAAGTATAGTGGCATGCAGAGCCACTATACTCATGTGAGTTGAGATACTGAAAAGAGTTTCGAGGATTTATAGTCAAAACTCCTGATACGGATGCTGCCCAAAAGAAAGCAAAAATTACTGCTTTTCCACAGTGAGGGACCACTATTCTTTATAGAATTACATTCTTTGCTGAACACAACATCTACTGCACTATTAGACAGATAACCAGGACAAAATAAGTAACTCCAGTTCAACAGAAAAAACTTAATCATCAGGTTTCCATTCCTTTACAGCTCATATTCAAGACTGTGGGAAAAACAAAACAAAACCAATGAACCTCTATCACTATATTAAAAAATACAGCTTCCTTTGAAAGTGATGACAAAGGCCAGTTACTGGCAGATCTTCATGACTACCTCTGGCCAGCTGGAGAACTGGATGCCATTTTGCCTGCAGCAACATTCATTGCTAATTTCATGGCATTTATAGCAGCGCTAATGATTTTGAACGTGCACTAATCCAGCAGCCACTGAACCATGCTGCTCTCACTGAGACTCACAACACTGTTAACTGAAATTTGAAGGAACTTGACTGGATGGTCCTGTTGTCTTTTGATATCTCAGCACAATCTGATGGGGAAGGTTCAGAATTTCTGCAGTGTTTTTAATCCTCGGTAGCCCCTGTGTGTGGCAGGGGCAGGGAAAACATGAGCTTCAGGAAAACAGGCACTCTCACCACAACACTGGGTTCATCATTTTTAAAACACAACTTTACATTCTGCAGGCTATGTAACTTGAATCAATTGTATCACAAAATACTGTTTTTTTCTTAGTAAATCCTGCTTTCAACTTGGGCAATTAAATTTGGTATAGCTTCAAAAATTAATACAAAGTTGTCTGTGTACAATGACAGCACACTCTGATCTCCACCAATATAGAAAGGCTAATATAGAGATCCAGGACCCCTCTCAGAACCGTGCTCCGTATCCTTGAGTGGGATTCTGTCCCAGGATGAGCTACTCAAAAGGACAGTCTTTCAAGATGAGGATCTACTCCCTAATGACAATGCAGTCTCTGCAAAGGTAAACACACAAGTAAGGTCCAGGTCTACTCAGTCCAGCTTGTTTCATCAATTCTCTTCCTCCAAAGGAGGATGCAGAACTCAACAGGAATCAGTAGCTACCAATGCCTTCCTGTGAACGCGTTCAGAGCAACTGCCTTGAGCGGCTCCACCTGAGGAGAACCAGAACAACCATAGAACATGCATTAGGGCATGAGGTCACCAGATACTTTTCCTCCAGAGAAGATGGAAGCAGCTCAACAGCCTTTGGCACTGCTTCACCAGCAGTGCCTGGCTGGTTAAGAGCAGACAGTGTCTGAACACCCTCAAAATGGGCAAGGCTGCCCTAAACACCTGTATCCCAATTTCTATCCTCCTATGAGAAGTTGGCAACTGGCTACCTGTATGAATGCAGGAAGCTGGATTTGTGGCAGACGTCATGTAACAGATCACAATTGAAAGAGCAGCGCTGAAAAGCCCTGTCAGTGAAGCTTAACTGCAGCTGCTGATTTCAGAGTCAAAGTCCTTATAAAATATGACTCCTGAAGCCAAGAGTAAACATTCTGTTCTCAGAACACGCCTTTGGCACGCACACAGCAGCCATTTCCTTGGGATGTTTCTCCAGCTTCCAACAACCTGAAGTTTAAAGACCTTCCAAGCCAAAGGTGAGAAGGGGTTTCCTGCATGATAAGGAAATATGTCGGGAGGAAATCAAAAGAAACAAGATCCTAGATTAGCGTCTTTAGAGTTCAAAGCACCTTGTCCTTACACATTGGGCTTTTCTGGGCAATTGGGAACATGAACAATAGAGCTAAATCCCAAGTTATTTGTTTTCTTCTAACCATTAACCCCACAAAAAAGCTATTGTTTACTACTTCTATTATTCCTTTATTGTATCTCTATTATGTTAAAGTCAGTACTTGATTATATTTTGTGCCAAAAAATGGTCTTTAAGTACATTAAAACTGCATAAAAACATTAATTGCAACACTACAGCTATCAGTTTGAAGACAAGACAAACAGAATGTGTGGGACTGAAAAATCACATTCTACTACTCCTACTATTCAAAGTGCATTTTTGTGCTACAACTGCAAACAAGATCGAGACCCCATTAAGTGCAAACACAAATGCAAAGACTGGCACTGGAGATATCAACACTGAAATCAGGGAGTGACGGGGCAGGAGGGCAAAAATCACACCTGTGGACCAAGAAATCAGAGCAAAAGCAAAACATTCACCATACAAAACAGCAAGACATGAAGTATGCTAATTTTTCACAGTTCCAAAGTTCTCTCAGATACCAGCAATTTATAATGAAAACCTGAAAGATGTGAACTAAGGAGATGAGTGCACAACACTGTTTATTAAAACTGCCTTTCCTATTTTCTCACTTAATTGTTTAAAATTTTATCTTAAATAATGCCCTAACTTAAATACATGCATGCATTTTTAAGACAAAAAAAAACCAGCATGGAATTCCAACCATACTAAAAAAGGAGCTGTGGCTTCAAAAACCCTTGATTTTTTAAAAAGCCCTCCCAAACCCACTAGGCTACTGTCTGATTTTTACGGATAGAGTATTACAACTTTTCAGCAGAGTCCTGGTTTTGTTTTTGTTGTTCCTACATTAAAGTAGTTAAAGCAAATGGAGTATTTTTAAAATGAACTTTCACAAGGTTACTTTGTGGTTCTATCACTATGCTTTAACTCACTGTTAGAAGGTATAAAAATGGACTTATCATAACAAAATTCTCTTCATACTGGATTTTATTATTGTAAAGATTTCTCTTCTAATAAATAATCTAAATTTGAATTAGTTTTCTCACACAAAGTATTTCTGAAAGTACAAACTGCATGCTACAATCACAGGTTGTAATTTCCTCTGGGAAATGAAGCAAATAAAATGAAAAAAAATAGGCAATAAATTAAAGCAGAAACCTTTACACAACCTTTACAATACAAAACACATGATTTCTCCATATCCATTAATGCTTAATTAGTTTTCTAGTGTTACCTAATTCCAATGTTCTGTAACTTGCCCCAAATAAACTTTCGGTAGTAGAAGAGCATGTTTTTCTGGAACATGGTCTCGGTGACATAGAAAAACGATCTGAGCAACTCAACAACATAGGTACCCATCATCCAGTACAGGAATTTGGCCAGAAGTTCTTCACGGAAGCAATGTTCATCGGCAGGAACAAAGTGATCACCTTAAATAAATAATTCAAAGGTAGTTATAGTAACTATCAATTCTTAGCACGATCAAAGAAACTGAACACACGCACAAAAAAACCACAAACCTGTACAACATTCTTGCCTTAGCTTGAGGTCACGAGAAAGAAAAAAGCTAAGTACAAACAATTACACAGATGCCACTCCAAATTTTCAGGGCATTAAATAATGCAACTGACCCAAGCTTAAAGCATAAACATAGGAACTAATCTGCAGTGACAAACTGACACAGAGGATACAAATACATGCCACAGTAGCCCAAAGGCTTACTTTCTTCCCCCAACACTGATTGTGCAAGATCTTTAATGCACAAAGGCAAGATTATTGTGAAAGGAGAGGTAAAATAAAATAAATAAATCTACTACAATATAAAACTTTTTAAAAAAATGAAGCAAAACCTGAAAACAACATAGGTAGACTGTAAAAATTAACAAAATTAAACTGGGATGATTTGGAGACAAGAATGATATTCAGATTTCCCAATTACATGAAAATTAATTAATTACAGGGTTAGGCATCATTTCAGACATCCTATATAAAACTTATTGCTGCAGTCAAATAAAAACAAAGAAAAAATTCGAATCACCCAAAGCCCATCGGTACTTCCAACATTTAGGTGGGACAACAATTACAGACCCAGAGCATTCCTAATTACTGTCAAATTTAAGGTCACATAGATCTGTAATTATGACTAAATACAGATGAACAGGGAATAAGATTGTGGACTACAATACTAATGTTTTGGCCAACTTCCAATAATATTTTTTCTAATTACATTTAAAGCGCAGAATTTAGCCCAAATGCAACAGGATTCTTAAAGAAACTGCACATAAATATTAATTTAGCTCCTTAGCAGAAATCATGGTTGTGGCACGAATGTGTTAAAAACAGCTTAATTTTGATGCAACAGACCTGACAGTAAAATTTATAAAATGGAAATAAATTTTCAGTTTTCTACTCCGTTTAGTTTTTGCTTGCTTCAGGGAAGAGCCATTTTCATATATATATATAGACCACTTAAAAAAGGACTATTACTACATCAACAGAAGCCAGTTAACATCATGGAAAAATCTCCCTTTTGGCAAATTTTTGAAAACTCTTCTCTAACTGATGCAGTTGTAATATGCCAATTGAAGCAGGATTCTGATAGATAGCTGCCCTGGAAATAGATTATTTCTTTTCTAAGTTCTTGACAACAGATGTAAACAATGATTACAATTCAGAAAATTATCAAGAAAACACTACTACTTCTGGGGTAGTATGTAATATAGTCTATATAATGTTTTGCATGGAATATGACCAGACACGAAGAGGGCATTACATTTTTCAAAGATAAGATGTCCCAAATTACTATGAATCAAACATATATTTTATAATAAAGCCTTTTAAATATTTAACTCCTCAGCATTTTGGAAAGTGTGGTTTTGAACCACAGTTTATGAATAAAGAAATACTGTTTCCTAGAATTAAGATCTTCTTATGAAAGTGTAACCTCCCTTATTTTTGACATCAGTTCTCAAACATCAGACTTTTGATTTTCCTCCTACACTTGAAAGAACTTATAACAGTTTCAGAACTTACTGCACCTTTTAACAAAAAAATACCATTTTCAGATCACATTACTGCAGGATCCAAGTACAATACCACATAAGAATAAACACTGTAAGCATGCCGCTTAAGGGAGTGCAATCCAAATTGTATATATGAAGAACAGGAAAATGAAAATGTGCTAGGTCCTACAGCAATCAACCCCAGAACCACGGCTTCAGCCTAGATTTAAATCCTAGGATAGTGTCTGAAGAACAAACTCGAGGAAAGGAGGATTTACCTGTCATTTGAAAAGAGGACTAACCAGAAATGGATTCATACACAACCTGGAGCAATCAGCTGTTGTCCTCATGAGAGCTTTTTAGCCAGAGACCGTTTGGCCTGGGGACTTCTGCACCATGATTAGCCAGACTGAAGCAGTGCTCAGTAAGGCTCTCTGGATCCTAGAGAGGGGCTCTAGAAAAGGTGATAGATGATGACAGCCCTTTTCACAAGGACATGCAATGACAGGACACGGGGGAAAGGTTTTAAACTTTAAGTAGGTTTAGATTAAATGTTAGGAAGAAATTCTTTACTGTGAGGTTGGTAAGGCACTGGAACAGATTGCGTGGAGTGGCTGTGTATGTCCCAGCCCCAGAAGCATTCAAGGACAGGCTGAATGGTGTTCTGAGAAACCTGATCTAGTGGAAGGTGTTCCTGCCCATGGCAGGGAGGCTGGAACTAGATCTTTAACGTCACTTCCAATCCAAACCATTCTGTTTGAATGGTTTGGATTGGAAGTAATGCTACAGCCCTGTATTGAATTGGTCTCATACTCACATCTTTCTCACAGGGTTGATGTGAGGGAGTAAAACAACCTGCTTTTTTTGAGGAACACGTCACTACGAGTGTCTTGATTTGCTTCTAGTTCTTTCTGAACTCTTAACAGTAACAAACAGGCAGATAGTGTTTATTCCTTACATGCTTAGGTCATATTTCAACGGATTTTCAGAGTTACTGCAATTTGTACTGCAATTTGCAATAGTAGGAGTGGATGGGAAAGGATGGGAAAGTGGATGGAGGGATGGGAAAGGTTTTTATTCAGCCCAGGTTCTGGCTTCATTTACGAAAACATCATTCTATTAAACAGCATAAATGCAAACAAGTTTTGGAAGGAAGACAAGCTGAAGTGTCCTTCCACCATCAGTTACAAACACTACTAGGTTTGCTCTCTCAGCTACGGTTATTACCAATGAACTCAGCAATTCTGAGTGCAGATTCAATATCCTCCCGTTCCCACCTAAACATGAACACCCATCATCTGACAGCCCCACCACTTATATTTAAGTTCTTTAATATAAGAAGTACCTTTGCCTAGACGAAGCCACATGCAGTCATTCACTCTCATCCTCCACATCAACTCCGGCAACGAAACCTTAGCAAACCTTCCCCCAGAAATGAACATTTTGACATTTTTTAGAAACCGGCACTTGTTGTGGTTTGAACCCCAAAGCTCAGAAGGGATGACCTTCTCCAGGCAATCCCTCACAAACATGTACACCTGCCAGTGGCTGCTGTGCTGCTTGAGGAGTTCCTTGAGGGCTGAATCATGTGTCTCTACCAGGTTTTGCTCCTCACTTGGTGGTGACTCCTCACACACAGATTCTGGAATGGGAGCATCTAAGTTGTCTGGTACATCAGTGTGACCAGACTGACATCTGCTGCTTTTCACACACTTAGCAGGCACTTTCCCAAACTGTTCTGCTTGCTTCTGAACCTCTGCTTCCCCAGGCAAGGCTGCCCGACAAGACAGCATGATTTTTCTCATGCTGATTTCAGATATCCGAATGGGGCAATTTTTTCTCAAGAGAGCTAGGTAAGCACACTTTCCATGGTTCTTTAGCAGGTTCTGAAATGTATGCCTCATTTGCCTGTAGCGCTTGGGCAACCTCTTCTTTCTCCGCTTGTGTTCTGGCAGACTTTGGTTATGCCTTTGCTGCACCTGATTTTGGCTTAAGAATATAGCTTCTATAAGCAGTCTTCCACCTGCCTGAGAGCCCTGCAAGCAATTCAATACAAATGATTTAGGAAAACATTCTTGGAGACTCCTGCAAGAATACAGAAGAGACTTCCTCTCAATGTATACTGCAGAACTCAGGAGTCTATTAGGTAACTTCTTCAATAATTGAGACTGGGGACTTTCTTGCCCTCTGCATTTTGAAGTACCCTCCATGGATTTGGTTTGTCCTGAAGACAACTGAGATTCATACATATGTATCTCTACTCTTTTCCTATGGGATTCTGCTTGCACTTCAGTGTTGGACTCTAAAGGCTTGTTAGTCTGAACTCTCTGCAGAAGAGAGCTTTTACTTGCCACAAACTTCCTCCTGCCACGAGATGTGTGAACCAAAGAACGACGAGACACGGTACTGCTACTTCTTTCAGAAATATGGGGGGTTTTAATGACACTTTCGGAAAAGGGTGCTACATACCCAGTTTCAGATCTCTTGGAACTACTTTGGTTTACATCAGCAACAAGACTACAAGCCTTTTCCTCTCTCACTTTCTCCCCTATTTTTACCCTCTTGGCTGCAACTTCAGGTTGTTCTCTGTGAATCTTCCTTTCCAGAGATGAAACTGTAGCTACGTACCCAGTTTCAGATCTCTTGGAACTACTTTGGTTTACATCAGCAACAAGACTACAAGCCTTTTCCTCTCTCACTTTCTCCCCTATTTTTGCCCTCTTGGCTGGAATTTCAGGCTGCCCTCTACAAATCTTCCTTTTTAGAGATGGAGCTGTAGCTACATACCCTGTTTCAGATCTCTTGGAACTACTTTGGTTTACATCAAGAACAAGACTACAAGCCTTTTCCTCTCTCACTTTCTCCCCTATTTTTGCCCTCTTGGCTGGAATTTCAGGCTGCCCTCTACAAATCTTCCTTTTTAGAGATGGAGCTGTAGCTACATACCCTGTTTCAGATCTCTTGGAACTACTTTGGTTTACATCAGCAACAAGACTACAAGCCTTTTCCTCTCTCACTTTCTCCCCTATTTTTGCTCTCTTGGCTGGAATTTCATGTTGTTCTCTATGAATCCTCCTTTTCAGAGATGGAGTTGTAGCTGAAACACGTGAACTGGAGCTACTCTGTTTTTCCTGATGTTCAGTAACTGTTCTGATCTGTTTGCTCACTTTAGAAACAGCTTTTGCAGAACGGTGGTCAGTAGGCACTAGACTTTGTCTCTTCTTATTTCCTTCATTTCTCAATCTGAAGACACTATTTTCAAATCTTCGTCTGTATTTCCACACATATAGCTTTAGAAGATAATTTCTATGAAACATAAGCCTTTTCCGTATATATTTTATCAAGCTAGTATGTTTATGCCTTGAGAACCTTTGTCTAACAAACACCAGGGATGAGTCTACATTATGTGAAATAAGTTCATAAACCGGTTGCCCACAAACTTGGTAACAATTACTAGGGGGAACCATCATAAAGACTGCGCAGTGTTCCAATAAATACATCATCACATCATCCCCTATCCGGCTCAACAGTGTCTCCCAGAAGCCGCTGATACGAAGAGTTTCTGTGGCAGTATTGGGTAGGTAGCTGTGTATCTTTGAAAACGGAACAACTGGGAATTGAGAACTGTTTTCATCTGGTAAGGAGTATCCATACGCGAGGATGTTCTTCTTCTTTTTTTCACACAGTCTCTGAACGACTCTTGTGGTCACCTCACTCTGACTAGATAACTGAAGAAACAAAGAAAAAAGAAAATTAGCTTTCTTCACTTTATTTAATAAACCATAATATACACTTTAAATATAAACACACGCAAAGGTACACAGCCCTAGACATCAGATTTCAAAACAGTATTAATGATTCAGAAGCATCATACTCAAAAATTAAGATTTTCCAGGCGTAATGCAAAATGTTCACATGTAGCAACACAAGCTGACGACTTGAAGGAAGTCTTTTTAACATCTGCCCTTTTGATCCTGGCTTTTATGCCCAGGAAACGCCCTACACTATTCCTCTTGAGTCCCTCAGCAGCTCAGACTCCACAGCCTCCAATGAATCCTTGTTTGCAGATCCACGTTAGCAGGCACACATCCGTACATACGTGCTCGCGCAGGCTCTAACCTCCAGGGAACTAACGCTAATTTTCTTGAGGCCTCCATTTCCTTTTATGTGAAGGAAAATTCAACTAAACGAATCGGCACACAATTCCAAAACCCATTTAACAAGCTGTCTTGGGTCTGCAACATCTGCTTCCTACCACAGCAGCTTCACTCATTCGGCGCTAAGAAAAAAGCGGTCTTCCCTCTCTGAAAAGCTTTTCCTCTGCTTAAACACCGACCCGCAGCCCGTTCTACCCGCCAGGATCTCTCAAGAGTGGGGCACTCTCCATCGCCAGTCGCTCCCCGGCCTCATTCGGCTTGTTCATCCCTACCCACATGGGCAGGCAGGGAGTCAGGGAGACCCACGCACAGACCTGCAGCGCTATCCGCCCGCCCTAGGCCAGCACCTGGCTTTTGCTCTCCCAGCCGCAAGCAGAGGCAGGGGCTGATTCCCAGCGCTCCCCGCTGGCTCTGGGGCCGGGATGGAGCGGCGGAGGGCTGTGCGAGCCGGCCAGGCCCGGCCGGCAGCAGCCGCGAGGGGCCAAGGCCGCCGCGCCGCCCCCGCGTACGCACGGAGCGCGGGAAGCGCCGACCCCGGGGAGCCCCGGCAGGGCTCTCGCTGCTCCTCGCAGCCCCTCGCCCCGGGCCCCCTCCTACCTGCTGGAAGGTGAAGGGCCGCGGGATGGCGCGGGCGCCGCGGGGGACGCACACGAGGCACTGCCCCACGAAGGTGCGGTAGCCGGGGACGTCGCCGGGCCGCAGCACCTCGGCGTCCCCGGCGCCGCCGTCCCCCAGCCGCCGGACGAAGGTCTCCAGCGGGACGGCCTCGGCGTAGCAGCGGCGCAGCGCGGACAGCACGGCCGTGAAGGGCTCCCAGCCCGCCATGTTGCGGCCAAAGAGGGCATGGGTCACCTGGAGCAGCCGCGGCGCCCCTCCGACCGCGCCGCTCGCCCGCCGGGCATCGCGGAGCAGCTGCTTAGCGCTGGGTAAATAAACAAATAAAAGCATTAACTGGAGAGGCGGGCGAAAAAGAAACCAGCCAAACCATCCTTTTAAAGCCGCGGCGCGGCCGCTGCATGCCGGTGCCCCCCGCGTGGCCGCGCAGAGGCGGCGGGCGGGGCCGGGCCGGGCCGGGCGGGGCGGGGCCGGAGGCCGCTGTCCAGCTCCGCCGGCGGGGAAACAGAGGGAAGATTCCTCTGCGAGGAACGATGTTTTTCCTCAGGATCAGCACTCCGTTGAGGGTCTGTCTGAAATAAGAGCAGCCGTAGAAGAGATTATGGTGGAGATTAATACACCAAACCCTAAAAATACCGAAGTAGCCCGCCCTGTTTTTTTTTCATCAAACTCATGAGTGAAGAAGCCAATCACTTGGGGTAGTGTGAAACCTCCTACTCCAAATTTGCCTTAGTATCTGAAGACTTCATGATAGAAAACTTGATACCAGACTGTGAAAGGGATTTCAGCAGAGTCCTGGAGAAATACAGGTATCTAGGCATGTGTGTTCCAGGTGAATAAGTAGAAATCCTCAAATTATAGCATGGTTTGGGTTTGAATGGACTTCAAAGGTCGTCTAGTTCCAACCCCCTTGCCATGGGCAAGGACAATATATGTGAAATACCTGTGCAGTAACAGGATTAGGGGATGCAGGGAGAAATACAAATTGCTCAGCCAACACTGTTCCCATAAGGAGTCCTGCCCCTGAGTTCTATCAAGTGTTGGAAAGACATGAACATTATGGTCATCTGGTTGATATATGCTACTTGAATTTCCAAAACACCTTTGCAAGGAAATGTGGCATGACACATCACAAATTAATTCAATGAACCCAGGACTTCTGAGTAAATGTTTGGGCAAGATGGAGTTAGCATTCTGCCACGCAGGGTGAGGTGACCGTCTTCTACCCAGGCTTCACAGATAGGTTGCTGTGAGTGTCCTGCAGAAATATAACAGAGTTCTCTCCTTCCTAAAGATTCGAGAGTACCTTATCTTTGAGAGGAATCATCCAACAGATCCCACTGTGGAGAAGGTTATTTTTTTCAGGGGTGTCACTGTGGAGATGTTAGTGTCCCCATGGTCATGGACAGTCTTGTCCCTGGTCATGGTGGTGCCATGCAGTGAGTAACTCTCACCAGTGACAGGGACAGACGTGTAGAAATTACTGGTCTGCTGAGACAGAGCAATGTCTACCTTCCATTCCTCAAGTGAAGCCTCTACAGACTAGGGAGTGAGGTCAGCATCCCACTGCTCAAGGAGGACTGGCCTCCTTTCCTACTCTACCAATGAATTTCTTCCTGGGAGCAAAGCAGCTCATCTCGTAACATCAGCATGGCTGAGGAGTCAGCTCCCTGGCACCTTGTGACCTACAAGTTGAGGCATTCCTACATCACTTCCAGTTCAGCACTGCCTGCTTGCCAGACTCTTTCAGCCCTTAACAGAAATAGGCACCAGCTGGCATTCCCAAGGGAGGGAGAGCAATAACACCAGGCTTCATGGGACCTCAGTGGGGCTGTAACTGAAATATTGCACTGCCACTGCATACTGAGAGGCAGGGGATTTGTAGACAGTCTGAATCCATCAGTATCTCCACCTAGGGTAGGGATAAAGCTGATGCCCTTGGTCCAACCCCTGAAGGATCTATTTGACATGTATTTCCCCCCATTTCTCCGTCACTCCAAAGGTGACAGCACCTTTAAGGCAGAATGTTGCCTGTGGCAAACACATGGTTCACCATTTCCTGTGAGAAATTTGTTCAGGAAGTAAGAGAAAAAGGAAGAAAAGGAGGTTAATTAATCTCTACCAGCTGCTGGCAGGTCCCAGCCTGTGCCTCTTCCTGATGCCTGCTTGGTGGCAATGACCACAGCAGGGGGAGAGGGCTGCTGCAGCCAAGCTAACAGGGGCTTTTTCCCCTTTTTTTTCACAGGTACCACAAGTTTTTCTGTATGTCTACCATTGGGCTAGGGAGACACTTCAGGAGGGAGAGAGGGAATGAAATAACATGGGAGAAGAAGAAGGTTGCTTTTTTTGGCTTTTGGGTTTTTTTTTTGGAGGGGTGGCAGGATGAATAAAGAAAATAATAGAATCACTGATATATAGAATAGCTGAGGCTGAAAGAGCTCTATAGAGGTGTCTAGTCCACTCTGCTGCTCAAAGCTGGGTCACTTAGAGCAGATTGCCAAGTACCATGCCAAATCAGGCTTTAATACCCTCAGGGATGGAGACTCCACAACCTCACTGGGCAACCTGCTCCACTGCTTTATCACACTTTAAAAAAAAATAAAAATCAATCATGTTTAAATAGGATTTATTCTATTTTAATTTGTGCCAGCTGCCTCTTATCCTGATATTGGATACCACTGAGAAGAGTTTGAACCCATCTTGTATTTATTCACTTTGATATGATCCCCACTGAGCTCTTCTGCCTTGGGCTAAAAAATCCCAGCTGTCTCACAATCTCCTCATATGTCAGATTGTCCCACTTCCTAATCACTTTAGTGACCCTTAGTGGAAAGTTCTCTGTGCTCACTACAATATATCATATCTCTCTTTTACTGGGAGCCCAGATCTGGACAAATAATGGGATCACAGTTCTCCTCAACAAATTTTATGCTTCAAGGCATACCTCACCCACACCATGCTTTAGAACCAGTTTCAGTGAAAGGGAGTTACCCTGGGAATGGAAGATGATAGTGGAAAGATAAAAATTAAACGCTGTTTTTATGGTCAAGCAACAAAGTGAAAGAAAATGAGATGTTATGTTTGAGATTTTATCCAACTTCAGTAATGGCCATTTAAAGAAGCAAGCTTTCTACAAATGTGCCTCTATTTTCAAAGCTCCATTTGAAAAGGCTAAAGGAAACTCTTACAAGAAATGTCACAAGATGAAGAAATAAGGGGTCTTTCAAAAACCTGAAGCTGTGTTCAAATAGAAAAGTGAAAAACAAATCAAACAATATCAGATTAGTTTGATGAATAACTTCTCAAAACTTAAAGAAACATGAAACATCAGAAGTGGAACAGCTTGCCAGGAAGTTAATAATGAAATAATAGAGAAGGAACACTTAGGACAATTGTGGTAATAGTGAGGAACTTGAGGCTGGCTCCTGTGTCAAATCTTCACACACAGCATGAATAGTCTCAAGCTTGAGTACTGTGAATTTTGTTGTTTCAAGAGGAAAGAAATTTTCAAAAATCAGTGAGTCTCTATAATTAGACGGTAATCAGCAGTGAGTTTAAAGGAACTCAGTCATTACCCATGTCAAGCCAGAAAGTTTCTATATCACAAGCTATGAAAATATGTAACCTAACATCAAGAATCCCAAAGGATATCATGGGAACTACTTAGCAGTAAATTTGAGGACTCAGCTGTGAAAGTTGACTAACCTGTAGTAGAGAATGGATTTAGTAGACACGTGGATAACTATGGCCCATTGGAGGAGTCAAAATTACATCTGCTGATGACATTATACAAGGGGACATTCCTTTGGTCAATTCAGGTCAGTTGTCCCAGCTGTTTCCACTCCCAGTTTCTTGCCCACCCCAGTCTGCTCATGGTGGAGGCAGAGTGGGAAAAATAAATCCTGATGCTGCCCAAGCGCTGCTTAGCAATACCAAGACGTGGGCGTGTTTTCTGTTAGTCACAGACCCAAAGCAGAACACAAACAGATTGCTTAATAGAAAGATAACTCTGTCCTTGCCAAACCCAGTACAATTTGTCAGAGTAAGACCCCTGTTTGGCCCATCACATCCAACAGTCTGAGTCATCACTGTCTAGGAGATCTTCAGCCAGTGTGGCTGATCTTGGTGCCAGTCTCACTTGAGGCTATTGCTTGAGACAGATCATACAGTCATGTGCCTCTAATCAAGGACATCCCTTCAGCTTAACCAGCTGCTCAGTGTAATCCTTTTTTACAGCATCCATCATGTGTCATGTCTTTTATCTGCTGTGGAATTAAGCCTGTTGTGACAGTGACTTGCTCTCTTTGTTGGCTTGCATCTGCAATCTTTGTTTTCTTTCCAGTGGTCTTGGTAAACGGAGATGTCATTTGGTTCTCCGGCTTGCCCTGTGCAGAGGGAATGTGGTGTGGGGAAGCAAACCATTTCTAGCACTATCATCACAATTACCAGACTTACATGGGTCTGGCTCTTCCCATGTCTGTTCACCACGACCCTCTGGACTGGGATTCTCCCTCAAAGATGCAGTGGTCTCTTCACCTCTTAAATGTTTTTTCCAGGCCACTGTGTATCTCTCACTGTGATGGTCCCTGAATGCCATCAGTCTTCTAACACCAGCCCCAGACTTACTGTTTGATTCAGCTTTTCCTTACTTGCCTATTGCTCCTTAAAACACATGTTCAGCCCTTCCTTTTCTCCCACATTTGCCTCCTCAAAGTCAGGTCTTAATTGCATCAGATATACTTTGTGCCCATTAAACACCGAACTTTTCTATTCTATTTAATAAATGTTCAGTGCTGCTTTTCACACATCAGTCCCAGTATTTCCTCTCCAAGCTCTTTGATCCTTATCTCAGCCTCTCGGCTGGCAGCCAGCGATGCCCAAGGGTATCACATTTGGCTCTTCCTCAGACACATTCTTCCTCAGGTTTCATACTCCCTTTCAGTACTAGTGAGTTTGAGAGGAAATTAATTTTCCATGCGCTCGTTTTGGCTGGGGTAGAATTAAATATGGTCATACTGGTTATTATGTTTTGAATTTGTGCTAGAAAGTGTCTTGAAAACACAGAGATGTTTTTGTTACTGCTTAGAAATGTTTACAGTGTCAAAGCATTTTCTACTCCCTTCACCAGTCCACCAGTGAGGAGGCTGGTGTGCACAGGAATTTGGGAGATGGCACAGCTGGGAAAGCTGACCCTAACTGACCCAAGGGAT